CTGCAATGGGTCTCATTTTTCTATTTACATACATGTGTACATAATATTCCACCTGTTTACCCTCCTACCAAGGTTAAATTTGCTGATATTGATCAGTGCAGTTTTCTGATAGCATCTTTATCATAGTGACTCCAGTAACTGGGAAGAGAATACTTGACCTCAGAAGGTAGATACACTTTAGAGTGCAGGTGTTTGAAAAAAGACAGCAAGACCTATAAAGCAAAGAAATAAAAACTGTTCTGAACTGTCTAGATAGCATGCTATGGTTTAGGATATTATCTACTGTCATTTGCTCTAAAATGTAAAGCCTGAAATCATTGAATATCTGGAGGCCAAAGGTTTCATACATTTGATATTTTATAGTGTGTGTTAATCACAATACAATTGTGAGGGTAAATTGCTTCAGATCAAGATATAACCCAGGATGTTTTAAAGAGCTCACTTTACATTCTTCTGAAGATGAGCTTTTAGTCTAACCATGAATTGTGTACAAAAACAACCCAAAACCTCCAACAATGCTAAGGTCTTTCTGATGTCTTTCCTGCTTTTTAATTTCTCCCTATTTATTCATTAGAAGATATAAATATGTGATTAACCAGCGACAGACTCCCATATTTTCATTTATTTCCCTCTTATCAGTTTTTTTCCAAACAACTTCATCAGAATTTCAAGACCCCTCTAACTTAAATATCACATTCTAATACTCAAGTGATCTGTTATTAAATTTATCAAATTTTTCCTCTTCCATTCCTCGTTTGTTCAGCCTGCACCATGTCCCCTATGAGTGACTGAGGGCTGTTCCTCCATCCCATTGTATACAGGTAGTGGAGCAGCTGACAAAACCAAGTTTGCTTTTTATATCTTCTGCTTTCTCATGTCAGGAAGATCTGTAAGAGGCACTGCGTGGGCCAGTGTGAAAGAACTGGGGCCTCGAACTCCGAATTAACCTTTATGGGATCCGAAAAACATGCCATTTTAAGGCTGAGACCATGGAATCACAACAACCTGGAGAGTCAGACTTACACAGGTGTATTTAAGTTGGGCTCTGTCCACATTAGGGATGTGTTTCTGCAGGAAAAAAAAATAAACAGTTTCCCTGTGTGGCTGTGTGCTGGAACCACACCAGTGTCAGTAATTGCAGCAGCTCTGGCCTCTCTAGCCATGTAGAGTATGTCACTCCTGTGTCTGTACTCACTCTGGCAATCTCTGTCTTCCTCCCCCTCTACCTCCCAGCTTCTTTTACTCCTTCATAGTTGCTCTTTCCTGATAACATGGCCATCCATGCCCCAGAGGTTGGTTTGCCATGACCCCTTTTCCCTCTTATCAAACAGTTCAGTTTTTTGCTAACCCTCATTTAATGAGATCCTGAAAGCATAATTAGTGGTAGCCCTGTTTTACAGCAGTTGGCTTCTGTTTCTACCATGTTTTTCTTGCAGAATTGATGTCAGACTGGATAGGGCAGAGAGTAAGAACATGAGTGTGTCTGATGACCAAGCTTGGTTACTGCAGTCAGCAACATCATAGTTGCTGACCTGCTTCTGGAGGACAGTTGGGAGTAGGCATTGTGTCATACATACGCTCTTTGGGGAAGCCTCTCTGCAGAGCTATTTGCCTCAGAAGAGCCCAGTGAATGTGGCAGACGCATGGACAGCCCAGCACAAACCACTTGGTCTCTCCCCACTCTGCTTAAACACTAACTGACTGCATGTCTGATTCCACATGTAAGGAGCCTATATAATAGCAAAAGATGATCTTGAAAGGAAACCAAGGAAGGGACTCTTTCTGGGAGGCTGATACTTTTCTTTGGTTTCCCTCACGTTGGCTCTTCAGCCAATGACTTGAATCTTGACATCAGTTCCTCCAGCCCTCCCTGTGCCATTACACTGGAGTGGTGCTTCTGCTAGGGGCTGTTTAATGACTCCTAAGACCTTACACAGTGTGTCTGGCTCAGGCATTGTGCTTAGCCCTGTGGGGGAGGGAAGGAGTAAGAACGTGGCAAAACCAAGCAACTGCAACTCCGGCCCTGGGGCGTTCTGGCCAATGGGAGAAGCAGGTGCTCATGAATAACTATACCAACACAGGTGTATGGTGTGGGAGACCTCAGGACCCCCAGAGCCTCTTGGAAAGGAACGGAGTCACTGTAGCTTTTGTGCAACAGCTCTAAGAGAGATTGCAACAGTGCAAAAGGATAGTTGCTGAACAACCCTGTTCTCTCTCTGCTTGGAACTGGGAAAACCCAGTCCTGAGACCATGATGTTCTGCCCGTGGGCTTGTAGCCATAGCAACGTGACAGCCAATCCCAGTACAGAGATCAAAGGAAACCTGGGGACTGCCACATAGTCCTTCCTGCTTGTCTGCACTGCTTAAATACCCTCTTCAGAAAGTAAACTACGCCATTGCTGCCCGCACAACCCTGAGTTCCTGTCCTTATCCACCACTCAAGCACCCAAGACCAGAGTCGGAGCCCCCACTGCAGCTGGACTGCGGCAGTATGGCATCTGAGGAAAGTGTTCAGGGGGCTCTGACTGCCCAGAGAAAGTGACATCCAAGCTGAGACTTGAAAAATGGTAGACCTAATACTTCAAGAGGGATGGGGAGGCACAGGGGAGAAGGGTGCTTCTGGCAGAGGGAATGCAGCCTGAATCACATTAAATGGTCATGGAACACTGGCTTGTTCTTGAGAAGGGTGAGGGTGCCACATCTGGGGATTCTTAGGTGACTGTGTCACACCCAGGAGACTGAGCTGGAGAGCAGAGACTACATTTTAGTCATTTTAGCAACTTCCAGTACATGACCCATAAACGGCATTTAGTAAATATGGGTTTATTCAATAAGAATGTTAATCATAGATGGTATTTGCACTACTTTCTTTTAGGCTTCATAGTAAAATGTGATGTATTGCTTATAAAAATGTATGACGGAACTTGATTTAGCAAGTCACCACCCCACTGCTAAGCTATGGCTACCCTCTGAAGAAGGCTTTGCCAAGTCACCATGTCCTGCTTCCCCTGCCTGCTCCTCCAGTTTGCTTTATCCAGTTGGTTGGATAACCTGTTCAGTGGGACACAGAAATAATGTTCCAGGAGTATTTTATGGGCTGCTACAGTGAGGATGGGTCCTTCAGCTGTATACCAGTTACAAATAAGCAGGGCACTGCTCCCTAGCATTTTCACAAGTCTCTGCAGATTTACCCTTTGCATGTTCAGCCTATTTTAAGTCATTCCCAGTTTCATCATCTTCAAGTCTACTGGCCCTTCCCCTGTATTTCTAAATAGCGTTATTTTTTTTTCTCCACTTTATAACAAAGAAGCATGTGTTTTGAAGGCGGTAGCACTGTCCTTGCTTCTGAAGGACTTGCATCTGTAACTAATGACTCCAGGCACCTGAAGACACACAATATACATTTTATAATCTCCCTGCTGGCTACTTTGTAATTAGGGTTTTAGTTGAAACTTGTAATTGATATCACATACCTGTGTTTAGATCCCTGGCCTCTTTCTAATCCAGCAGAAAACAGAAAAATTGGAAACTGTAAAGTTGGAAATAAACTTTGAAACCTTGTAACCAAGTTCTTTTTGCCTGTTCATGTGTTTATTTAAGCATTTGTATTGCAGAGAAGAGAAAGACATGTTCCTTGCTCTCCAGGAGGCTTTGAGAAAGGCAGACTGTAGTGGGGAATTAATTGGGCTAGGAGTGTGTAGGAGGAGCACCTGTACCAGACAGGCAAAGCTGGAAACTACACTGCCCCTCCCTGGGGCTGTGTTCAGAATAGAAGGGAAGGGGATGGTCCCCAGCAATAACCCAGCAGTTCTTAATCCATGAAATGTGTACATTTTTGGCTGCAAAAGTCATCCCCATCTCTGTGCTGTGTTCTACACACTGAGTCCATACTGAGCTGAGGGCCATATACGTGAGGGTTCAAGTGAAATCAGTGCTTTTCCTTTTCAAATTTATGTCATTATAGTGATACTCTGTGAATCACTTGTTTAAGGTATGGACTCCTCAGAACTCTGCTCTATAAAGGTCCATTTCCCCCCTTTATAGTAAGCAGCTTATACCTTGATACATGGTAATGTCTTATTTCCCTAAAAACTTATTATCTGACGTTTCAGTGTCCATTGGTGAGCATTTTCAGAATTAGTTATTAGTTACAGGTTTTGCAAAATTGTGGTTTTTCTCATTGTAACATTTCTTGTACATTTACTGGCTATCAGTGTTCTGTAAAGATGATCTTCACATTCTTTCTGTCCCTCTCCCCCCATTATGGACCAATGGATTTTTCTGTATCCAATGCACTACAGTTAAGCTGCAGCCATTATCTTCTCCATATGCAGACTGCCTTATGTGGCTAGTTGTGAGCCCTGGCAAGCTGATTCCTGTGTCCTTTTCCTTGAAAGCAACTCCTTGCTTTTGGGCACAAGTTGTCCTGCCCATCTCTGGCATCCGTGTTGTCTCAAGAAGCCTCTTGTTGCAGATGACATTTAAAATCCAAGAGCATTTGGAGTGCGCACTACTATGGAGAGGTCATTGTATCCTGGCTGTCTCTGGCTGAAGCTAAGAAATATGTTCAAATTTAAAAAGCATAGCATACATTTGTAAATAATTAAAGTCAAAAGCCTCTTTTGTCTGCTAGAAACTCAATTAGGATAATAATTTGAGGTTATCTAAAGTCTCTTTGTAGCTGTTGTTCTTATCTTTCTTCATTAACCTCTTAAAAAATTGTCGCACAAAGGTTAACTTGCCCACACACTCTGTGGTTTAATCATGTGCATATCTGTGTTCTAACCGTAATGGGAAGGGGTAACTGTATTCTACCTCTCACTAAGCTCCTTTTCTATCATACATTTGCTATATATCTAAAAACCTTTTTTGCAATACTAGGGTTTGAACTCAAAGCCTTGTGCTTGCTAGGCAAGCACTCTACCACTTGAGCCACACCTCCAGCTAAAAATCATTTCTTAATGTTGCCAGTATTCATAATTTATTCTTGTTGCTTCCAGGTGCGGCTAAATCAAGTCCAGCTTCTAAACCGGGATCGACACCTTCTCGTCCCTCTTCTGCCAAGAGGGCTTCATCCAGTGGTTCAGCATCCAGATCTGACAAAGATTTAGAAACACAGGTCATACAGCTTAATGAGCAGGTAACTCATTGTCTCTGGGATTGGTGACATGTGAGGGGCAGGAAGATTAAACCCCTGTACAGCTGAAATAAGGGAGGGAAGGTGAGATAGAGTGAGTAGTTCCAAGTGAGTAAGAATAAAAGGAATTGCTCAGGAAGGTAAAATCAGTAGCCCATGATGAAAAGTAGGTGTTAGTCACAAATTTCAAAGCTGTACATTAAGATGGGGCAAATGACTCAGTCCTGCTGCAGCCTGCAGGCCACTCTGCCTCTCCCCCACTCCTCAGTGGCCATCCTGAGCTCCAGGCTAGACCATGGCCTTGTCTGTCCACTCCTGTACAATCTAGACAGTGTTAGTGCTGTCTAGATACCTTCCCTTCCCTCAGAACAAAATGGATACCTTCCCTTCCCTCAGAACTTACAGCAATTGTACATGGGAGATTATTATTCAAGGAAAAAGAGAAAAAAGCTCAACCCTTCCCACATTGGCAGAAGTTGGGTACACAGACCCAGTGCTGGGGGATCTGAAAGGCCACAGCTATGTTTTAAGTAGAACTTTCTTTTTTTAATCTAATACAGAAAATCTAACTCTATGACTTTGGAATTTTCATATATAAAATCTTTCTAACTAGCACTAGCTAATTTTGCCTAAGACTATGCACAGTTTAAAATGCATAGGGCCCACTGCAAAAGCACCCCCTGCCCCCGATCCCCAGACTTCTAAAATGGCTTGATTAAACCATCCTGACCTCTCCACCATGGAAGAAGAACCATGACTCCAGGTCCTCAGGCTGTTCCCAGCCACTCACTGGGCTGGTCCCAGTGATTAATCTTTTTCTTCATGAGTCAGCAACAGTCCGTGAAACAGTTTTTGGGATCATTGTATATTTATAATTAAGAATCAATTTTAAAAGCAGGCAGTTGCTTAACAAGGGTATTTCTTTACAGTTCTGATCAGATCTCTTTAATGGAAAAGATAAAACTTTAAGTCATCCAGCAGGTAGGACCTTGATTTAGAAACTGTGGAATGTTCTGATTACCTGCTGGCTCTTAGTTTGAGCCCATAGTGTTTCCATTAATGACTTCTCAGATAAAAGGCAGTAAGGACAGCAGTAATGAGCATTGGACCACAAGCCTAAGGCTCCAAGAAAGTCAGAGTAGACCAAAAGAATAGGACATGAGTCTATAGTACTTAAGACTATATCTTCTTTCTGCTAAGGAGCCCAGATTCTTTTGATATCATTATCACCTCATGCTTTTCATGGTTCTTTCCTCCCTGTCTTCTCTCTTCACCACAATGGGTTTCCAACCCTCCAGCCTAAATTATGACTACATGGAAACCTCAAGGTCCTTCCTTGAACCTCTGTCCCTTGGTAGGCTGATTGCCCTTATCAACCAGTCTACTTCTTCTTGGGACCAGCTCTAGGTTCCAATTAGCTCTTCCAGTCCTACAGAGAGCTCCCTCTACCCCAGACTTCAAAAATGCATTTGTTAAACCATCCTGCCATCCAAAATTCTACTCTAGAGAGAACAGAGGAGAGAAAAAGATGGAAACCATCCTCTGGCCTTTTCACTTCCTAATTCCTTCATTACTTCCAAGAGGTATCTCTTCCTTTCCTTCCCCTTGTTGCCTTGATCCTGAGGAGAAGGTTCCCCAGCACTGACCCTCAGAGGGAAGGAGGGGACACACCATAAACTAGGAGTCCTTCATTCAGCAGATATTTACTCCAAATAGTTTTCCTGATGATCTGTGGTTGCTCCTTGTGTTCTGTCCTTAAAGCCTTTAGGAGGCACCCCTGAGTCTGGTGGGAGGCCACACAGGCATCACAGTGTTGGAACTGAGAACACAGGGACAAAAAGAGGCTGAGTACAAATTCCTAGGCAGAAGCAGTGAATTACAGTGGTAATAGAGAAAGTGACAAGTGCCATAAAACTTTAAGAATTTTCATTTACTTGGCCTCGTGCCTTTATTCAGACAATCTCCCATGATATACTATAAAAGTAACACTGTGCTAGCCAATCCCAGTGATAAAAATGAATCAACAGCTGTAGGGGAGGAAAAGACATAAATAAAATAATTAGGGACTCTTTCTGGACAGTGAGTTGGAGTCCCTGCTGTTAGGGAGGGAGGGGAGTCATTGGGTAGCCAAGGCACAGAGACTGGCTGTCATTCAGATTGCAAGGCCTGGGAAGATCTGCAATCTGTGGATACACTGAAAAGAGTTGGGAGCAAAAGGGTATTTCCCCTCTGTGGACCTTGTCCTTGACTTTCCTCAAGGGTCCAGCTCCAACACCTCCTCCATCACTCAGGCACTCGGGCATCTGCCGTGATATGTGAAGGATGAGGCTGGCATCAGTCTTTGTGAGTGGAGCCATGAAAATGGAATTTCATTCACCAGTTCATCACTTAATCTGCTCTCACATTTACTAGGGAATGTTTATAGCCAAGCACCTCTTACTAACACATCTGGAATACCACCCAAGCCCAACTCGAGCTGAGTATTTCTAAAAAATCCTTAGCTGTTTGCTCATTGTGCAAACCAAAGCACTGTCAGGAGGCAAAGGAATCTAGGTTTCCTAAGTTAGCAGTGTCCTTGCTTGGTTTGCATGAGCCTAATAAATGGTGTCATAACTAACTAACCAATCCATTGGCTGGCACCAGCCCAGAGTCAACATATTCTTTAGCTAAACCCAGAGATGGAGTTTGTTTAAAGCAGAAAAGGACTTCTAGAATAAATTTTTTTTTCTGAAATTCAGGCTGATTGCCTTGCATTTTTGCAAATGTGCAAAGTCTACTATTCACAGAAATAAGGGTTCAGTTAGCAAACTGAACAACTACATGAGGCCATCAGAGAGGTTGACACCGAGGGGCCTTATTCCTGAAGTTTTCCAGAATGGATCTGAGTGAGTTTTAACAAGATGTCTGGAATCAATAATTCCAGACAGATAATTAGCATGTGCCAAGGTCCAGAATTACTAGAAAGAATAAAACTTTGTAGTTCAAATATAAGTTTAGAAAATTCTGTTTGGGGTGATTTTTAATATCCTAGAAGGAAATTTTCACTTAAGGAGATCCGTGAAAGAGTTATTGTATCTCCCAAGCAATATATGCCACATAAATACAATAAACCAAATGGAAAAAGGTGGGAGAGGGGTCATAGTTTGGACATGTGTGTCACTGCTGGAGGCACAGGCATGTAGCAGCCTGAGATTTGAAATCAAGTCTCTTCATACCCACTGCAGAGTTTCTTTAGCCCAGGTTCCAGGGTTGTGGGCCCTGCCTAGATTGTTGGCTCCACCCCATCTCTTGCACTGTGTAACCACTGCAAGACACTACACATGCCTGGAAGATCCTTGAGACTGCATCAAGCAGGGAAGAGAGGAAGTGGTAGTTATTTTGATGAGAGAATGGAGCTTCTATACCGTCCTGCCCTTCCAGTGATGCTCCAAAGCCAGAACTAGAGAAGTTAAGACAGATCCACTCAGCCGGTCTTTCAGTCTCACCTGGGTTGCCAAGATCTGGTTCCTCAGTGGAGTACATTTGTCCATTTTGGCTCAGTATCATTTTTGAAGAGATCTCATACTAAAGGTGGCTCTTGATACAAGTGATCTGAAGGGTCCTCAAAATAAGTGACCTCACTTACAACAACCTGTTGTCTCATCTCCCTTCCCTGCAGATTGCCAATGAGTATTTTAGTCTACTTGAACCACTATAACAAAATATCATAAACTGAGTGGCTTATAAACAACAGAAGTTTATTTCTCACCATTCTAGAGGCTGGAAGGACCAAGATGAAGGCGTCAGCAAGTTCAGTGTGTGTGAGGGCCCATTCCTCATGAACTGCACCTTCTCACTGTGTCTTATGCTGACAAGATGAAAGAGCTCTCTTGGGCCTGTTTTACAAAGGCACTAATCTCATTCACAAGGGTTCCACCCTCATGACCTGGTCAGCTGTCAGAGGCCCTGCCTTTTAATGTTATCACACTGGGGTTAGGATTACAACATATGAATCTGAAGTGGATGGCACACAGGCATTCAGATCATAGCAACAAGTTAGGATAAAAGTGTGATACAGTCCACATTAGTAAGAGAGGAAAGGCTCCCCCAGTCTGGATACATCCCTCTGACTAGCTAATAAACACTTGATTGATGGAAAGGAATGACCAGTGTTCTCCTGAGTTTGGCCATTTTGGCCCAGGCTCAAACTCAGACAACAGCCCTGCTTCTCCCTCAGACTTATACATGGATTATTTTTTTATCTCTCTGTACATGTGTTATATCCTTATCTACAGGCTTAGTTGCTCATTTTTTTCTTATCATGTATTTTGGGATTTTCTTCACTCTTATTCTTTTGTAGGTACATTCATTAAAACTTGCCCTTGAAGGTGTGGAAAAGGAAAGGGATTTCTACTTTGGGAAGTTGAGAGAGATTGAACTACTCTGCCAAGAACATGGGCAGGAAAATGATGACCTCGTGCAGCGACTAATGGAAGTGCTCTATGCTTCAGAAGAACAGGTAAGTGTGCAGAACCCTTGGCTCTTGAGTTCTAAAGCCAGTCTTGGGCCAAGTACAGTCCATCTATGAGCCTTAGCATGCTTCCCTGGGGCCTCGGTAAGAATTACAGCTCAACTAGTGCACTTGACATTCCCAGGGAAATAAGCACTATTGTCATCATGATCCATTCACCCAGGCTGATGGGACTTGCATCCATAAATTAACCTGGGAAGAGATATGTGGAGGGTGGGGCTTTAACTGAGAAAATACAGCCAAATCCCAAGAGTTTCAGCTTTGCGAGAAAATGAACAGTAAGAACTGGCACGTGAGCCAGTGTATCAAGGGAGACCCAGAATGTAGCTCTGTCAGGTGATGAAAAGAAGACGTGAGGAACAGTGAACCAAGGTGTGGAATAAATGGCAGAATGGGGCAAGTCACACCATTCTGCCTGTTCAGGGTGGTCGAGGCCAGACACCCAGAGGTAGAAGGTGAGAACCTCCCCTCCCAGAGAACAAGTTGTGGAAGGCAAGAAGCCGGAAACCAGGGTCTCCAGCTTCTTTTTATGTTGGGTCAAAGCTGGTGGAAGTGTTTAGATCTCTTTGATCTGGAGGCCTATGGATGCTCTGATGGATTTGTGTTAGTACAGCAAGCCTGCCTTAATCATGGAGTTACTGCATGCAGTTTTGACAAAGCATGGATCAAAAATTAATAACAAATTGTAAAAATCAAAAATTCCAAAAACAAAAATTTTAAATTCCATTGCATGCATTACTCAACCCAGCTGATGCAGAGAAGCTCTCAGTCAATCCCATGTTACCATGTTTAGATCATTGTGTGATCTGCTGATTGTTTTCCTGCCCTTAATCCTGTCAAAAAAAAAGCAAATGGTGGCAAAAAAGTAAGGTAAAAGTGAATGTGCTTAATGTAAGTGATATGGTGAAAATTGTAGGTTTGTTCAAAGGCGCTTTATCTTTAACAGAAGCTGGGTGGCATTACAGGAAAAATGAATCAAGCATCCACTATATAGCACTGAACTCTGCATCCAGAGCATGTGTGAGTTTTCCTCTATGGTGGTCTCCCTCTAATCACAGACCCTTGATACTGAGGTTCTACTGTGTTTCCATACAGTGTAATGAGCCACCAACAAGTTTACTCTGTCTTGTTCCAGCTGAATGCCAGGCAAATGTTTACTCCATTTATGTCTTAAAATCCTAGCAATGATACTTTTCTAAACTGGAAGGAACTGTGTCTGAGGTTTGGGAGTGCTCCACCACTTTTTTTCATTTCCTCCAGATATTTTTTTAACTTCTTTCATGGTTACCAGTAGCTCAAAATGCAGATTTGGAAGCCCTGGTGAGGTCCCAGAGGCCAATCCAGTTCTCAGTATTTTCAGATCTGATGGCTTATAGTGTATCTGCAACCACAAGTGAATGTACATAATGCTCTGTAGGTACAGAGTGTTCTGTAGTCTGTAGTGCAGATTAATTGTGGTTATGGCCTTCACAAACTTGCTTGACTCTAAATCAGATGAAGTCTGTGCAGACCCAGACACCAAGCAGAGGTCCTGTCTGCGGTACTTGTAGCTACAGCAAGGCCAGAACACAGGCTCAGATCTTCTTCCCAGCCCTACACTTCCAGCAGGAGGGAAAATTTGATTCTAAGCCAGTTTGGGGGACCTATGTAGGAGCACTGCCAGGTGAGCTCCAAATGAACAGTTGTCACAAGTCACCAAATTCCTGGTTAAGGTTAGACAGGTCAGCCTGAGGCAAGAGCTCTGGCCTCCTGGTATGGCTTCAGGGGAGTCCACCTACATGTCCACTCTTGGCTTTGTTGTGCCATTCATCACCACCTCCCACACCCCAACATCATCGCCTTGCTGCCCATCTTGAAATATGTGCATGGTTACAAGCAGATGTCCCAGGAGCAGTCATGCTTTAAAGACTGAATGAGTTTATCAGGTCTTTTTCTCAGACACCTGGAATGGGACTTGAGGGGCAAGAACCTGGGGCTCCATGTAGATTAGCTTATTGGCTCCTTCAGTTCTTTTGAGAATCCTATTGTTGTCATTCCATTTTACAGATGAGGGGAAACTAAGGCAGTAGAGAGGTTAAAGACCTTTCCCAAATTCCTGGGCAGCCAGAGTCTGGATTCATGCTCTCTAGTCTCCAAGCCTGACCATGTGTGGCTTTTTTTTTTTTTTGTAGGGTTTTGGTTTGGGGGTTGTTTGTTGTGCATGAACCCAGGGTCTCATGCATGCTAAGCATCTGCTTTCCCACTGAGTTGCACCCCAACCCTGGAGCCACCTTTTAAGTGGAATCACAATAGTAGTCATAGCTAACATTTACTGAGCATTTAGCATGTTTTAGATACCATGTTCATGTCCTATATGAGTTTCTCACCCTAACTGCATTCCTGCATGGCGAGTGCTATTACGTAACTGCATTTTACAGGTGAAATGACTTGCCCAGCAACGCATAGTTAATAAGCTCCCACACTAGGATTTGAATCCAGGTTTATCTACTTCAGAGCCCCCCAAATAGGACAGCATTCTCTCCTTCATGCCCTATTGTGTGCCAGGGGGCAGGGAGAAAATAAAAGGTAGGACCTGTGGGGGAAGACTTCAAGATAGATGGCCTACTTGAAAATCTTCAGTTGAACACACTCTGTATAGAAAAGCAGATACTCAAATGTTTACCTGGATTTTCTCTAGCTAACTCTGATTCTCTTTATTTATACCTCCAAAAGTCTTAGCTTTACCTCTTTTTCTCTGGGCATTCACTTATTAAGTCAGTGTCCATTCTCTCCTGGTTGATTGGTACCCTTTTTAAAATCACCTTTGTTGTCATGAAGTAGAGAGAGATGTAAGGAGAAGAGAATGGTGTGGACATCACCATTTAAGAGTATGCTAAGGACGATCTAAAATCCAAGAGAATTAGAGTGGCCAGGCATTTGGAATCCCACAGGGAAAAATCACAAACATTGTGTGTAAATTATGAGAGCAAAATCTTCAAATGCAGTTGCTCACTTGGTTTTTCTAGTTCCAGGACATATTTTATTGCAACTTTGTGTCTGGACAACTCCAGGGGACATATTAGGTTACACAGAGGTTCCTATGGAGAATAGGTGTTTTATTAGCAATATGCCAGAAGTCCTTGTGACAAGATCTATGACTGAGGTTTTTTAAACCTTGGTCTCTGTACAGAAAGAAATGGAATTCCGCCCTGTGCCTGGAACTGTGCTGAAAGCTTTCTGTATACTGTGTTGTGCCCATGCACACAAAGATGTATACAGGTGCACATAACTGTTTGCACGGGTACACGTGCAGAGGCACTGGAGCAGCTGGCCCACCTTCCATTCTGCTTCCCTGCTAGAGGCTCAAGGTTCCATCACACATCTGCCTTCCTCTCTAAGAATGATGGGCCCTGTTTCTGGGACAGCCTCCTAGAATCATAGCAGGTTCTGCACTGGGGATAGAGGGAGCCTGCCCACTGCCCCTGTGTCTCATGGTTGGGAAAGACCTCACTTTAGAAAGTATGTGTTCAGTGACAGCAGTGCCACCATATTCTCCCACCCCCATCTCTCCAAATCCTCTTTTTGTTCTGACACTGTTTCCTGTTTTTAGGCCAGTTCCACACCTGGGTGATAGGTAAATCTGCACCCATGTGTAAGTCTGGCGTGAATGATATCCTCTGGGAAGAAATGATAGTATGTTGTTTGTGATGCTGTGGTCATTGGCTACTTGTGTATACAAATCTGAGGTGGCGGATATCTCTGGTTGTCTGTCTTTTCCCAGAATCCTCCTGGAGGTAGCAGAGGTACTGAAGAATCAAGGGCTAGACTGTCTTGTGTGCTCTTCAGTTAAATTAGATGAACATGGGTTGACATTTCAGGTTGGGGTATTTGCTGGAGGATCTCTTCCCCTAAGTGTTACCCTACTGCTTTTATGTAGTGATGACTGTGTTCTGATTCTTATATTAAGCAATCCCAGAATATGATGTTAAGATGTAAAAATTCAAGTGGGAATTCTGAGGAGGGAAGTCAACAGGTAGTTCAATTCCCAGGCATAAAAACCTAACAGAAGTTTCCAGAGCAGAAGGCCATTCAATTATACAATGCATCTCTTTATCATTCTCATTTTTTCCCTTCATAAGGTGACTTGAGGCCATAGGTACCTGAGCTTAGTCATTGGCCACCTGCTCCCAGTGGATTCTGTCAGCCAATGTGCACCAACTTATAAACAGTTGGTTATTTCCTGAGATACTGTCATAGAGGCCATTATTAAAGTGACCTAAAGACTTTTTTGATATTCCTCAGCACTTTTTTTGGATACAGGCTGTGTTTTCTGTCATCGGGGAGTTTCTGCACACCAGAGGATAAAGCATGTGTACATAGAAAAAGGACCAACCCCCACCTCAGAAGAGCTCATCCAGAAAGGGAGACAGCTGGGGACACAACTAACTAGAAAATGTGTCAGATTATGACAAATGTAATGATGGAGACATAAATAGACTTGTGTGGGAAGCACATAGAAATGACCTGGAGGGCCAAGTAAAGCTGTCAAGGTGAAGATGGCATGTGGGTTGGATGTTGAAGGACGACTAGAAATATCAGCAGTAATACAGCCTAAGAGGGACGATGTTTTTCAGGTGGAAGGAAGCTGCATGAACAAAGGAGAAAGGACAGAACTGTTAGCCATGGATGGCATTGAGCAGTGGGAATAAGGTTGAGTGCCTCTACATCTAGGAAGCAGGAACCCCAAACTTCTGAGAGAAGCCTTCTCCCTCCTTTGACCCATTTTCCTCCCTCCCACCATGATTATAATAGCTAAGCATTTAGAAAGACATAAGGAGTTGATAAGAAAATATTAGAATTAAGCAGGCGGCACTTAATTAAGTGCCTCAATTAAGCAGGGATTGCACCAATCCCTACTTCTATATGTGTTTAATTTCTTCATTCTCATGTAGGGCAAAAGAAAAATACCTTTTTCTCTGGGAATCTGTGATCACATTGTAAGGGTTGGTAGCTCTGGGCTGTGATATGTAACATGTCCTCAGAATTACAGACTTTCTTACTGTCTTAACTTGCACCCAAAGCATTAGCACCCCGTTGATAACTTGGGAGATCTGTTCTTTATGTTGATATTGCCTACGAAGCATGCTCTAAGGTCTGCAGTTCCTACAAATGTGTGACATCATGAGAAGTTTCCAACAACTAGACTTTAACCCAGTGTGCGTGGGTTGCTGCCCTCGGCCTGCTGGAGACCACGGAGCCATAGACGAGGGCAGCAAACCCATGCCCTGTTCAGTGTGTTTGGGAGGCCTGAGGAGGGGCCTCATGTAGTGGGTTCCTGGTCCCGTACTTATTACAGGCTCAACAATTACTTGAATCTAGGTCTTCCACTTTCGATTCTGGGTTAAGTCAATTATCCCACAGTTACCTCCCAACTATGATGAGATTCTCCATAAAATGTAAAACAGATCCTCATTTCTGAGACTTTCACTTCTGCAGTCGACCATGCACAAAAACAATTATGCAACAAAAGCATACTTCAGACCAGCTGAGGTTTGAGCAGTACAATATGAAAGACACCACACTACACTGAAGAGTTAGGATGATGAATGAAACAATACCCCTAACCTATTGGAGGGACTCAGAGCCCGGCTAGAAAGGAAGATATATAGCCAACTCAGTAGGAACACACACAGGGTGTTCAGCCCACCCTCTAACACAGGCAGGAATAAGGAGTGCAAAGCTTTGAGGAGCCATTAATATAGGGGTGAGGGCAGAAAGAAGGACTTCAGGGAGGAGCAGTGTTTTCCTAATGAAGAGGAGCTTGTGGCAGAACAGATATTGGGAGCTCCCAGGCACCTGTGAAACTCCCATAAGTAGTTGTTTCCTTCATTCCTGTAGACAAGGGGAGAGCACCTGCTCTGAGGCCTATGCCCATTTCCTGGCTTGTGCTTCCCGAGCGTGAAATGCCCTCCTATTCTCCATCAGATTGCCGCTGTCAGCTGAGATGCTAACTTCCTGAGCTGAGAGCCACCCTCACGAGTGCCAAGTGGTGGGCAAAGCAGCTGGCAGAAGATGCCACCAAGAGCACAACCACAGAGGTGCCCAAGGTCCAGAGACTCTGAAGTAAAGAGCATCTGCAGTTGAGGAATTGAGAGTGCAAGGGTCAGAAAGACAGCAAGTGGTGGTCAGAGAGAACCAGACATTGGGCCTAAGCAGAGCAGTTTTAGGAGTCAATGACAGGATGTGATCATGCACATGAGGAGAGCTCATGTTTACCGAATAATGTGCCCATTGACAAAGACGCCAGTAAGGGACAGTGCTTGATTTGATCCCAAATCAAATGGTTCACTTTCTACCATCAGTTGTCACAGAAAGGGTTACTTTATTATTATTATTATTTGTACTTCAAGAATATATTCTACAGAGTTCTTCCACTAGTAATCATAGTCACAGCTCACACTTAAGTATTTACTGTATGCCAAACACTTTACCAGTTTAACTCATTAAATCCTCTATTGGATTTATTTATCACTAAAAACCCTGCTGCATGGCACTCTTATTATCCTCTCACTTTTTATAGACAAAAAAAATATGAAGCATAGAGCAGTTACTTTACATGCACAAAGTCTCATAGCTTATAAATAACAAAGCTAGGACATGAGTTCGAGAATCTGTGTTTATAACCTTGACATTGTACTAACTCTCTGAAAATACTCATTGTGCAACCTTAGCTGATAGTCTTCATCACCCATTTTTGAATGCTCTGTGATTTTTGCTCTTAATATGACATGTACAGAATGCTATAGTAGATGAGATGGGACACAGTTAACTAAAGCCTTACCCCCACCTTCAGGAACCTCAGGATCCAGTAAGTAAATCCAGAAGATTCAAGACAAGTTTCCAAGTCAGAGTTTTATAGCACAAGAAGAACAAAGTGGTACAGGCAAGGGCCTGACTCAGGGAGCTGGGGAGATGATCCTACTGTATCTGAATTGAATCTTGACAGATTTGCCCTGGGCTACAAAGAATAGGAGCCTGATAGGAAAGGGATGGGTTTGGGCAGACCAGGAGTCAGTCAGTGTGCCAAGTGTGACAGGACCTGAGTCCTCTGTATGTCCCAAAATACAGGCCAGACTGCTTCCCAAAGCCCTGTGCCATTATTGAGGGGAGGCAGTTAGCTGCTGCCTAGTAGCCTCACTCCTTCTGCTTGGATAATAAATAATTATTCTTCATAGGTCAAAAAAAAAAAAAAGAATTTGTAGCTTTGTCTAAGTTGGTGTTCACAACATGCTTTTTGGGTTGAGCAAATGACAAGTCAGATATTTGGAACCAAATAGAGGCATACCATAGCTCTCTGATTTGTAGTCAGTGAATAGACAACAAGCAAACAGTGAGCCAAAGGACCCTCAACAAATGTCCCAAAGTCCTTGAGACACGGTTTTTGAGCTCTGTTCAGAGAAGGGCCTCCTTGCTAGGGCATCACATAAAATGTAGCTGTTATCTTTTCCTTTCCCTTGGAAACTAGCAAGTTGTTTCTCTGGTATCTTAAGCCCATCCCAGACTGGTAACAGATTATAGAAAAGGATCTGCAGACATCAAGAACAAGGCAAATGACAGCAGCAGAAGAAATACGGATCAGAAGAACCGCACTGGGGGCTGTTAGTGTAGGGGCACCCATCCAACACAATGCAGAGGCCTTGTTTTATGTCCCAGCTGGCTCATCTGTGGTTACCACAACACTGCAGTCAATGTGTTTGGCTTATTTACTCTTTTACAGAGGGTAGGAAAGTGTGTAATATGTCTTAAGATTTCCCTCCAGAACAGTTGGAAGAAAAGTTTTGTGCCTAAATTCTGATGACCATGCTTTGCAGAATGATAATTCTTTGATAGCAAATGAATGTGAAGGTGTCCCTTCCAGGAGTGTTGGCCCTGGGAGCTGGGCAATTTATGCGTGGTTAGTTGTGCCTACACCTGTTCATCTCCTCAGACGAGATACTCCATGCTGTGTAGGGATTAGGTCTGGGACCCCATGGGCCTAATGTGTAGTAAATTATTTCAGCTGAAACTTCCCCCTTGCCTGACAGGAGGGCCACACAGAAGAGCCGGAAGGAGAGGAGCAAGTCCATGATCAACAGCCCCAGCAGCAAGAGGAGTACTGAACTGGCTCGGCAGCTCTTGACGCTTCCATTGTGCGTGGGAACTTGTCTTCTGGGAAATTGGAACATGCGTGGCTTCAAACCAGTTGTTCCCAACCTGTCGTTACCATCAACACACTGTTACATACGCCAGCCACTGTGCTTGGTTCCCATTTACTTTGCCAAGATGCATTAGCAAACGACCATTTTGGTCGCCTACCTGAGCGATCATAGGGTCACATACCTTCAACTTCACCACTTGGCTTGAGATTGGTTCTGCTCTTTCCCTCGTTTCTTTCCAGAACAGCTCTTCCCTCCCCAACACCACCACCACCACCACCACCACCCCTTTTTATCCTAGTGTGAAACAATGGTAATTTGATACATGGTATTTATATTGGCATTTCTCAACTCAGTGTCACTAGATGTCACATGCATTTGTGGTGCTTTGATGTTTGCGAGTCTAACCTCTGATAATAAATTTGGTCAAATAATCAATTGGAGCAAAGGGAAACAGATACTTGATATGAAAGCCATAATGACAGTGACTTGTGTCATGGAGGGAAACAGAGTCAGTTTCTCTCTCCACTCACGATATGAAAGGGAAAATTTGACTCAAAACTAGGACTTCAGGGCCCAGCAGTGCTTATGGAGCAGCATGTTAGACAACCACGCAGTATGTTGTTAGTTTTGAAAGACAGTGACTCAAGGAAAACACCATCTCAGCTCTGCCCTTCTCCTCATGCCCCTGCCTCCCACCCCATAATAAGTTCTCATGTTATTTTCTTTCTCAGGGTCCTCTTCGGTGGGCAGCCACTAACCCAAGATGTTGTCACTCAATTATCTGCAGTCCAAAGGGGGTCTTGGTAGGTACCTGTCCCCCTGCCTCATCCCTCTTCCTCCTTGTGTGGGTTTCAACCCATTTCTTGCCATTCACATTAGGGGATTCCTACTGAAGGATAACTTGAGAGTGTGCAGCCTGAGTGCCAGAGTTCTGCACTGTGTTGCACACTGGCTGGAAGGATAGAAGTGAAGACCTCGTTAATAAGAGCATAATTCCAGGGGAGAAGCATGCTTCTGTAAGTCTCACATTGACACTGGGGTAACAGCACAGAAATGCCGATGACTCCCAGTACCTTCTGGAATAAAGAATCTCCCCTCTTCAACACAAGGGCCCTCCTTGTCATTGACATTTGCTAAACCATGGCAATTCATATAGAGAGAAAACATTAATGAATTTAAAGCATTCCTTATTTTTTTAACTAATAGTTGCACATTTTCTTAGTCTCTTTCCAAATCTCTGCCTTTCTGCTCCACCCCACCCCACCCCCTTTTAACAGACTGTGTCTCTTCTCGGATCTTCATTTCACTTGGTTTCCAACTTTAGTTTATTTTCACTTGTTATTTGACTTAGCAGGTGCAACAAAAACAAGCAACAAATGTGCCCACCCCACTTTCCACTTAACTGAAAAGCTTAAAAATAAATTTATGAATTTTGCATCATAGAGCTTTGAAATTTCGTTATTAATTGATGAAACACTGATTCTAAGTTCTGGCATTGAAGTTTTGCACCAAAAGAAGTCTTTCCAAAACCTTTTGCAGCAAAGTGGTATTTATTCAGTTATATGTGGAAAAGATGGCTTGTATTTTTGAGATTATTACAACTGTGCAGAACTGGACAGATGTTCCGTGGTGTTTGGTTTCCCTTTCTTCTCTCTCCTGCTCACCCTGCACTACAGTGGCAGCTTATTTCTCTGAGGCTGGAAAGCCTGGCTCCCAGCAGTGACGTCCTCCCAAACCTGGTTACAGTAGTGGCTGTGCTATACAGTGTCATGCTTAATGTGTGCCACCCTCCTAAACCTGTTGTACTCACTGACTTTCTTTTTAAAAATAGCTCTTGTAAAAGGTGTGATAAATTGCTCCTTGCAGATAATTCTGTGGTTCCTAGGCCATTCTTTACCTGCCCTGGACGTCTAAGTAATGCCCAGTGTCACACTCCTGTCATGTGGATATACCAGGAAGTTAGAATTGTGTCTTCTCCTGAGCCACTTGACACTGTATCACTCACATGAGGCTTCCCGATGACTCTTACTGGAACAACAAGAGTCATTCCTGTTCAATTCCCCAGGTTTCTGAGCTGTAGACATGTTGGTCATATTTCCTCACCTGCAAAGAGATCTTCCCAGCCAACATACTCCATTCTCCTTCCCAGTGGCTTAGCACAGACTCTATTCATGTAAAGAAGAGCTGTAACTTCCTTTTCCTGTCCCTATCTTAAACATCTTAGGTGGTGCGCCCAGGTGATATCATGGATGCTTTGGGGAATCCTTAACAGCTATGTTTCAGAGTCCATCTTCTTGAGCTGCAACCCGTGCCTCTGCACACCCACTACTCATTGCCCATGGGTGGTGGGACCCCATCATTCTCTCATATTGACCCCACCCCCAGTCACGTGTCATCATGGCAGGCAGAGAAGCATCCCTGGGTGTGTGCCCTGCTCCTCCCTCTCAGAAAGTTGGATTTCTTTCCTAGTTCCCCTCACACTCACCGTGGGCTGGTTATAGCACTTCCATTGCCACTTTCAGATTGGAAATGACCGAAGCAGGGGGCAAAGAGAAAGTTCATGTTCATTTTAAGTAGAAAAGCAGGGGAAAAAAAAGACAAAAACCCTGTTGACCTGAGAGAAGTAAACTCCAGAAGGGAACCAAGAATTCCTCCCTTCCCTGGTGAGTACTCCCATTATTCCGTTAAGGTTTAACATGCATTCTGATTACTTTTACTAAATAGTACACCATAAAGCTTTTGTTATATATTAAATGTAAACTGAAAGGAATGTAAACATATGTATTGTTAATTATAAATATAGATAAGTAATGACATAATAGATGAAAAAGTCTTATTCAGATGTATCCCATCCATTTTACATTACCACCTATTGTCGCATGGTAGAATAGATTTTTGTCTCTGAATATGTGAATAACTTGACTTGCGTTGATCTTTTTACATATTTAATAAAAAAAAAACATATGTTAAAATCTTCCTGGGTTTCTAGATTCTGAAATTTTTGTGCTAAAGATTTCCTATTCTGCAAGCATGTGTGTAAATAGGAAGTTTATATGGATACACACATCTGCCCACATTTGTATAGTTTACACAGGGAAAGGGGATTGTCTTTGTATCAACTGATGACTGATGTTTTAACAGAAATTACAGATTTGTATGTGATATCAATGTAGCAGTTGTAATAGCTTTAAAAAATTCTTTACCGAAAAAATATAATAAAAATAAAACATCCCCTTGGGAAATTCCACTTGCAAGCAAATAAAACCCTAACTCCAACCTGTTCCATCTGGACAAGACAGTTCTGGGGAAATGGGAGACTGTGGGAGAAGCAGACATATGTTTCTAAGGAAAGCTTTGTAGCAGGACGACCTGATTGGCCAAGCTCTTTGAATAAGTGTGTTTTATCACCCTTGTTCGTTGAGTTTCAACAGTGATGATTTGTGGTCATAAGCCATAAGTGGAATACAGAACTTACAGGCAGTGCAATGAGTGAAAAACAAATGCATTAAAATTGGAGACTGTCCAATGGGTGACTGTCCCTTATAGACCTGCCTGCAGGTGATGGAGATGCCGCCATTTCCTTTTCACCCTGAAAGGTGTCAGCCTTCTGTAAACTGCTCTCAAGCACCACCTAGAGGCCAGTCGTGTTCTGTACTGGCCTTTGGCAAGTCTTGCATTCACTTGCCTTCAGCACTTTTCTCTTAAGGGAAATAACCTGAGACAAACACATTGCCACTCTTTTCTGTATATGTGCATATCTCCCCCGGGTATATCAGTGACAGTCTGCCAACCATGCCTGGGCTGTAAAATCTCCTCTCAGAGCACATGTGTGTTTCCCATTTAGCTCATCAACATTGAGGCTTTAATCACTAGATCTTAACAATTAGACTTTCAGCACAATTAGTCAAAAGTATATATGATTCCTTTTACTTAAAAGGTACGTTGATGGATGCAAGTAAACCTGTCACCAATGGTTCAAATGTGATGAAATAACATTTGTTCCATTTTATTAAGTGAAATCATCTAAGAATTAAATGGGCTGCTACTGATACTATGGGAAACTCAAGAGTACAGAAACAACAAATAAATAATAGTGGAATTCCACTCCATTTGGTTTATAAAATGCCAGTTCTCTGAAATTAAACACACCCAAGTAAATGGAGACCTCTTATTCTTCCTTCTGACTGTGAGAACACAAGTCCTATGACCATGAAGCCTGCTATCACTGTTAAGCATTACTGACCCAGTTTCCAGCACTAAGGCAGTGCTACCAGACAGCCCCAGTGTTGGATCAGAGCAACCCTACATGGCCAACAGCTTCTGTTTTGCTGAACCCATAAAAGATGTCCTCTATTTATTACAAGAGTGGTGGCTTGATGTGCCCAGAGGGAAAGCATGGCTGAAAGAGAAAAGTCCATCAGTACTTGGAAAACCTTCACGTGGCTCTAGGATTTGGAATCGGGAGTCTGTCCAACACCAGCCCACCGGGCTTTGACCCAGCCCTTGTCTGTGTGGACAGGCATACTCATTGCTGGCCTCTGTCAGGCTTAGTACTGTGAGCAGAATGCAAGGCCCAGCTGAAATTAATTTGTTGAATGCCTTTTTCTCTCACTCCACTGAAAGAAAATGTGAAACCTTTTTAGCTTGCCAAGTTTTAATTTCTTAAACAGGTTTTTTCTGGTATTTTGTAACTTCTTTTATCAAGACTGAATGTAAATTATGTGTTTTTAAAGGGTAATGACACATTAATGTGCCTTTAAATTTATGATTTTTCAGTAGGACCTAGACCAGTACCTCAATGTGCTCCTTTCCAGACAATAAAAAAGTTAAATACACACTTCCTCCTAAGCACCAAATGTCATTACACTATGACATTTCTGTAGGTCTTGAAGGTTAACTATAGAAAATTTAATTTTTTAAAAACATGTTTCCTTTAGTCACTTAAAAAGGTTTTGGAGCCAGGTACAGGTGGCTCACACCTGTAATCCTAGCTATTCAGGAGGCAGAGATCAGGAGGATCGTGGTTCAAAGCCAGCCCAAGCAAATAGTTTTCAAGACCCTGTCTCAAAAAACCCTTCACAAAAATAGGGCTGGTGGAGTGGCGCAAGGTGAAGGCCCTGAGTTCAAGCCCCAGTACTGCCAAAAAACAAAAATAAAAAGGTTTTGGTCAAATCCGACAGCCCAAATGAACCTTTAGGAATTAGAAACTGATGGTTTCCCGTAAATGCATTCAGAATTTTATTCTGACCCAAATTCACAGCTCACCATGAGGATACTCCTTTCAATCTGGTATATTGATTATATGCATGAACTTTGATCTCCTGCTAATGAATTTTTATCAGTAGGAAAGATTTTTTCAGAAAAATATCACAGAAACTGAGTTTGCATGTTAATTTGAGGGTTCTGGCGGGGAGGAGTACTAGGGGTTGAACTCAGGGCCCATGCTTGCTAGGCAAGTGCTCTCCTACTTCAGCCATGTCTCCAATCCTTTTCCTTTTAATTTGTTTTTCAGAGGTCTCCTGCTAACTTTGCTGGGCTACCTCTGCCTGCCAAGTGGCTGGGAACCACCAAGTGAAGTGAACCACCAAGCCTAGTGCACACGTTAGTTTCTTATAGACTAAGTTGCATCAGGATAAGCTCAGGTGGTCTCCCTGTCCTGCAGACATAGATGATGTTGAGTCACCTAAGCTTTAAAAAAACAGAAGGAAATGTCAATTTTACCCTGGAACATTTTCATTTTTTCCCGAAAGAATGGTTTTGAAATATGACAAGATGCATACCTAAAACTGTCATCACCACAACATCCAACTTTTCTGTTTTGTTTCGCTTTTTAAAAAATTTGCCATTCACTTTGAAAACTAAAGATGGGATAGGCACAGAGTGAATGATGGTGTTTGTTGTACCTATGGTAGATCTAAAAGGGCTCAGATGTAAACTGTCTTTGAAAATATGGTGGAGATGAGCAGGCGTGCCACATCTCCAGGACATGCGACTTTGTGACATAATTGCCAGCTTACCTTCAACTTAGCAAGTGCACCTTGCACTGCACAGCTGAGCCCTCATCAGAGAATTAGGAAATGACCTGGTCTGGCTGCCAGGAAGCGAATGACGTTCTGATCCCCACGCGACCTTCCATGCTGCTGTGAATGACTCTCCCGTCGTTTTCTTGTGCGCCTGTGCTCTGTGCTGCTTGCCACCAAGCAGGAAAAAAGTGGTGCATTTATGTAGAAGAGCACCCCAAGCCCAGTGTGGGTGTTTTCATAGCACTGAACTGATGGCAGGCTCTGGAAAACATAGAACAAGGGATCCTTCACAGTCATGCCTACCAAACCTGCGTTTGCACCCTGGTTAACTCCCCTCACCTTGCCTCTTCACTGCGGCCTGGCGCATAGCTTTCCTTCTGAAGGAAAGGGGGAGCATGCAAACAGTGACCATTCTAAAACATTTTCAAGTTACTCCTGTGTCTTTTAAATCCCCGTTCCAGTTTTTTAAATAGTCTGGAGGAGATCACATCACTAGGCCAGGCATGGCCACCCTGGACAGCCTCATATAGTGATTAGAACCACCTTGTAGGACAGGCTAGGTGAGAGGCCAGGTGGGAAGCTGAAGGCCACAGAGTGGGGATGAGGCAGAAGCCATGAGAGGATGGTACAAAGCCTGCAGCACCGCACAGCAGAGGCACAGAATCCAGGTGCCTCACCTGCCGCCACCGTCTTTGGTTGTTTGCCCATTAATATTACTCCTCTGCAGAAACCGTGCCTGGAAGCCAGAGGAGCTGGCTGTGCTTCACAGAAATGCTGTTCCTTCCTGGGCATTACTGAAATGGCTTTCTATTCAAGTGGAGACTCACCAACAAGCAAGACCACTAAGTATCCCCCACGGGGAGAAAATACATACACAGCCTCCTTTACATTGAAAACATATCCAAGAAAGTTGCTAACACTACCAAAGAAAGATCCAAAACAAAAATTTAAGCTAAAAAAATACCCAAAACACTAGGGTGTAGGGAGTGTTTTTCCTTTGTCCTCCTCTTTGTTTTTAAAAGCTGAGCACCATCTGTGGGTAAAATACAGTAGTTTAAAGCAATGATTTTGGAGTTTGGATTTTTTTTATTGACAATACAAGGGTTTGAACTTGTACTTGCTAGGCAGGTGTTCTACTACTTGAGCCATGCCTCCAGCCCATTTTTACTTTAGTTATTTTTTCAGGTGGAATCTTAAGTTTTTGACCAGGCTAGTCTCAAATTGCAATCTTCCTACCTATAGCCTCCTGAATAACTGGGATTGCAGATATACCCATCACACCCAGCTTGTTAGTTCAGATGAGGTCTTGTTAACTTTTTGCCTAGGCTGGCCTTGAACTACTGTCCTCCCAATCTCTACCTCCCGAGTAGCTGGTAGCATGAGTCACTATGCCTGGCCTTCAAAAGCAACTTTTTTACTTCTAAAACACATGTTTATCCATAAGTCATCATGATGGTGACCTATAGAAAGAGGCATTTTGAATCCATTAAGTTTAACTAACCTGCTTTAATTCAAAAAAGTAAACTGAAGCCATTTGTGAAGTTTCTTAAAGCAGCATATTATAGATGAGTGAGGAAATCAGAGCAGAGGGGAAGAAAGGGAGAGAGGAAGGGAGGGAGGAAGGAAAAGATCAAGCCAGACTCTCCTAGGACTAAAGGGAACAAAATTACCTGAGCTTCCCAGTAAGCCAGCACGGAGAGGGATAAAACCTTTACTCAATTTCAAGTGTCTGTCAGATGAAAATAAATCAGTTACTCAGGAGTCCAGACCCTTAGGCCTGAGGGAAATTTCTGTATGGCTCCTCCTAGGTAGAAATCAAATGCGTGGGGATCCTGACGGTGACAGCATCTCACAGCATTTAGAGTGAAGATAACAGGCCTGCTTCCAGCTACCCCAATGATGTAACGCCAAGATGCAGTTTGGTAAAAAGCAGTCTACCAGGGACCAAAGCTGTGCATGAAACAGCTCCTGGGGACCCGGCTGTATCCAGGATAAAGGCAGAATAGTAGAAGGACAAGTCCCACTGCCTGAGGTGTCAGTTCAAGGAAATACTGAACGTCACAGTATGGCTTTTTATGGCCTGTTGTGGGCTAGAGAGCAGATGCTGAATGCTGCTGATGAAGGCTCAGGTTTTTCCCCCCCAGCAGTCAGCAAACATAGCGGGTGGAGCTGCTCTCATGCTGAAGGCTAAGGAGCCTCATCAGACAGGTCACCACACCCTCATGGGGAAGGAGAACAGCGGGCCTTAGGCGGGGTACAGCTTTCCCCAGAAGCATGGCAAGCGGGAAACATCTGTGAATTTGTTTCTTGTTTCTTGGGTTTTTCAATTATCCTTGGCAATTTACGGACAGGGAAATTGTCAGTACAGATTATAAAGCTATCGACTTTTACTCCTGGAACCCTCTCGATTATCAGAAAGGCTGGAGATGCAGTGGTGTAGTGACAGAACGCTTGCCTAGCATGCGTGCAAAGCTTTGGGCTCAATCCTCAGTAGCAGATATCCCCCCAAAAAAATTATCCTGGAGAAAGTCCACTGACAACCACTGTGCTTCCCAAGTCAAAACATAAATTTATATGGGAAAGGGGGGTTATTTTAGTAAAAGTCTTGCTATATTTATAAAACCATTTACAGGTTGCAGAATGGTTTCACACAGGATAATCATGTAGAGGAGAGAGAACAGGCTTAGAAAATGATCTAATGGACTCATCCCAGCTAGCCCACTTCCAACTGTGTAATTTTAAACAAATTGCACATCAGTTCTCCTTTTCCTCCTCTGAACACATA